GGTTCTCCATGTCAGGAAGCCCCTATTTGCATGTATGCCAACATATATATATATATGTATATATATATATATACACATGAGGGATCCTTACATTATACACCTTAACATTGCCTTGTAAATGGTGGTTTCCTTGTATGTTGGTGGAAAAAGCCATGTTTCAAATGGGCAAAATGCATCTTTTAAGGAGCCCTGTACATGTAATATACATATAGATCTAACAGTGCTACCCCCGCCCACCGCGAGCACTCGAGACTCGAGACCTTTACCATATCTGGGCTGTCCTCAGATCCCCTGCTAAAAGCTTATTTTGTGGGTTAACCGGACCCCCCCCCCCCCCCCCCGATAAACCCTGAAGACCAAAAATATCTACGCAGACGGTTGCGAACGGCCAAGATAATATACGCAACTAACATGCGGAGAAAAAAAGAAAACCATCACCTTTACACAGCTAGTGGCAACAAAGAAACAACTCAATTCTAAACAAATATTTAATTGATCAAGCCCATGAGTATGTTCTCGTCGAATTCTGGTAAAAACATCAAATTTGGAAAGGGTTCCCTATCCGATTTTAGACTGGAGTTTAAACCACATTAGTATAAACTATGATTCCAAGTGAACATTGTCTAAGGTTCAATCAGTATAACATTTAAAAGACATGCTTGCTTAGATTATGTTGACACTGATCAAGTTCAAAACTGGTCCATGTCCGTATATGATTCCATTCGAATTCTAAATTATTTGACATTCAAATCCAAATCAATTTTTTAAAGTGTTCCCATGTCCTTGTGCACATCCGTTTTCACCCTATGAATCTAATTTGGACATCAATTCCTATCTAATTTATGTGTTGCTGATCTAATTCGAATAGATGTGACATTCACGCCTGGTGAACATCAAATATAGGAAACGGATTCTATTAAACGTGCTATTTCAAACCCAAACCAAATGCAATGTTAAGCTTTTGCATTTCCTAAAACGCATTCGAAACAAAGCATAGTTTGGAAAACAAATTTGATTGGAGCAGTTAAGAACCAGCTGAGCCAAGTCAATAAGAGGGTGTATTTAAAACAAACATGGATCTGCCCCTTGGCGAGCAAATGCAGTAACACGCGATGCATTTCAGCATTCTCTGGTCATTGTCAGCGTGTCTCAGTCCCCTCCTCAAAAAAGGGGGGCTGAAACGAGCCCCTCCCTCAATCAACAACAATGCATGCTAAACAACAAAATAATTAATTTAACGTGTCTAGATTCAAGATCCAGAATTGCACAAAAACTGTTCAGGGAATCTTGGACCCTGGCCACCCCGAAAATCATTAGACAGTGTTTGGCAAAACTGTTATGTTTGTGGCGCTGGAACCAACATCTATGGTTCTCAAAAAATGAATCTTGGATCGTGGATCCAGCTCCCATTTTTGCGTTTTAGAGGGCCCGCGTCCAAGATTCCCTCAGTTGTCTGTGCAATCCTGAACCTTGCACACCCCAAACAAAACTTGAACGCCAAAGTTGGGTTCTAGGAGGTGCCCAGCTTGACTGTCACCTTTGAGGGATCAAACATGGCAGTAAACATGAAAAGCAATTGTTGCCAGGGGCACTTCTTATATGCGCAAATACGTATATATATATATACATATTATATACTTATTGCTGACTTGTTGATATATGCACGAGTATTCATGTCCCTCGATATATGTCTGTTTGATTGCATCTACCTAGCCACATGCAATGTAATAGCATGTGTATATATATATACATATATATATGTCATGCCTATATATATATATATATATATGTCATGCCTATATATATATATGTATGCACCTTATACACCTACATCTATGTACATATGTATATGTGTGTACATACACACACACATATATATATATGTATACATGTCTGCATATTACACACCAGCGGTCTTTGTCGTATATCAATGCTGTATGTGCGCAACTCCTTTGATTTCCGGAAGCGACTCCCGGAATTGAGTCCCAGTTCCCTGTATCCAACACCCAGCTCACAGCCCAAAGGGTATCCTTTCAAGCCTGAGATTCGGGCAGAAATTCGCGGCTTACTCAATGGCGCCAGTGAGCACGGCAGCACCATGCAGCACCGCATATCACTTGTCTGACTCGTCTCCTGTCAAAACCTTTTGGGAAGAAAACGATAGGATCCGCCAAACATGTGGTGAAGCGCTTTGCTCGTCGACCATTTGCCAGGCTGCTCCATTGCTTCCGCTGGAGAAACTTTGGTCACTCCGCAAATTCGAAGTGCTTGCCTCAGGCAGGCGCTCACATCAAATGTTCCCCCAATCGACTGTCGCGAACCAAAAGGCCAATGCAACATCATGAAACATGGCATGTCAAACCAATCGCCCCACGGCTTCATGGAATCTCTATCGCAGCACATAGCTCCACTTGATGCAACGCTTGCAGTGGTGCGCATGCCAGTCTCCTTTCCGTGAACAACTTTGGAAACGGCCGATGTTTGGAAACGGCCGAGAGTTGCGGCCTCAAATCCTGCTCGCACACCTCAGGGCTCGCATGTTTCGGTGTGGGCTTGTTTGTTTGGGCAGAGGGTTCTGGGCCACTGGGTGGCCGCGATGTCCAAGGCCAAGCCTGGAGGTGTGAGCGGCTTTTTGAGCTTCATGCTACATGTGCTACGAGGCGATTTGATTCAGACCGGACGCCTGAACTATCAGAGCTATGGTTTGGCAGTTTGGTGGGCTTGCCCTTTGGCGAAGCTGCGCATCCTCAGGCTGAAGATGATAGTGCGTTTGTGCTGAATACGGGTTTTGCGCTCGTGATCCCTTAATTGTCGCAGCAATTCGCAACGCCTGGCTGATCACTACTCTCCTTTGTAGCCCGCTGTTGGCCAATAGGACGGTAGTGGCTTTCCTGCACCCACGGCCTTACAACCCGCCTGCGCCAAAATAATGGTGGTGTTTAAGTTCACTAGAACAATGCAAATCTTCCGACCCCTCCCCTTTCTCCCCCGAAAAACGACAAGAAAGCACTTGTCAAATTAATTATGGACACAACAAACAGGCAGTCTCCTCCCATTTTGAAGCCTAAAGGCTCTAAGACTCTAGTTTTTCAGGCCTGAAAACTCTAGTTGGCAATCAATAATGCAAAGCTGCAGGGCTCCAGTGAGTTGGCCACTAGCGCAAAACTGCACATGCTGGCCTGCAAACATGTTGCGTCCTGAAGGCTCCAGTTGGCACTCTTGCAAAGGCATGCGCCTTGATTGTATTTGTGCAGAAATTGTGTAGCCTTGTGACTCGAGAAAGCTGTTCAACGCTAGGAAACAGGAAAGGGTCGATCACAAGCGGCCGCCAACATTTTGGTGCACACGGGATGCCCGTTCGGCCCAGTCTTGTTCCCGGCCTCGACCACATTTTGAGCAGCTTGACATCCGCCCATTCCGAAGTGAGACTCGGCATCCATGCCATGCCTGAAGCTGCGACGACACACGTAGGGTTTCTGTGGCTGCAATGTGGCGGTACCCAGGAGGAGCTAACTGGGACGATAAGCAAATTCCCTGTTGGAGTTTCGCCCTGAGCAACTCCAATCTACCAACGCAACGACTCCTCTCGCATCGGAGGAAACAAAGCAGGTCTTCTCTGGCTAATTTCACTACACCCCCCAATGCAACCGTCACACTCCTGCCTCTCAAGATCTGCGAGTTTGACAGGCCTCTCAAGCCAAGGCACGTTCGCATTGCATACATCACGTATGACATATTCGTCGGCCTCGGCTCGGGCACCCGATTGCCGAATGTCCTCCCACTTCGACGCAATGTTGGAAATCGGATGCGCGAGCGACAAAGAGAAACTCCTCCCGACCAAAACAGTAGATGATGTGTTTCAGAGCCCACCAGCTGCATGTGAGAACCAGGGTGAACATCCCACCTGGCCCTCTCGCCCAATCACTTCACGACGAGCATCTGTGCCATTGCTGCCCAGAGGATAGAAGGCAACCGGCCCCGCTGGGCTGCTCACGCGCAGACTGAATAGATTGAACTGATCGTTGGCTCAAATGGTGTGTCACACAAATTGCATGGTACAGCCGACTTCGCAAACCGCTCTGACCGAGAAGTGTGCTGCGCGGAAAGCGAGACCTTAATTGAAGCTTGGAATCCAGGCGCCGCCGACTGGCATCCCTCCACGTGACTGTGAACATGTGGTTGCATCCTGGTCCTTTGCCTCCGTTTTTTCGTGAAAGCCTGTCCAGTAGCCATAGGAAAGCTACCCAAAGAGTTCTGAAACATCTTGCGGCGATCAACAGGGCCCGACCGTCCAACGCTTGGATTCGGATACAGTTATCATTGCACATCATGCCAGCATGTCCAACTCATAGTTTCTTCAACCGGCTCATGAGAGCGTCACGACTAAGAAATTGTACTGGTCCCAACGTGTCGCAAACAGTGATCATGTTCGAGCTGGCCCGCATCACATGATCGCAGACCAGACTTGAGCCCATTTGCCCATGTTTGCTCATTCTGGAGGGGGAGGGAGAGGATGCAAACGAAACAGATTGAATCTCAGAATTGCTGTTTGCGCAGAGCGAACCTTCCAAGGACCTTCAAGTGCTAACAACATAATGTCAGTGCCGTACCCTTTGCCAACAGGCATGGACATTGTTGATAGGGGACTACTGAACTGACTGCATTTGATGAAAGATGTAATTCCCCATGAAGCAACGACTTCCAACTTCACTTGCCAATCTTTTGGAAAAGCTGGTGTGCAATATATTATATTCAATATCAAAAACGTGCCGCCTACTCAAAACACCGAGTTGGTCGCTGATGTGTAGTCAGAGTGACCAGGTCCCTCTTGGGCAAGAACCACCTGATCTAAACCCTACAGTTCGACTCCCGTTAAAATAATACTTGACCCAATGTAGATGAAGCCCCTCAAGCAAACAATGGTGGTTGTCTTTTGCCCCTCATTATTTACAGTATTGGCGCCGGGAACATGTTGCAATGCGGGCGGCAACTCACCTCGCCTCCTGCGTAGGGCGCTGTAGTGTCCATGGCCTCAGGGGGTCAGCCCCTGACAATATTGAGGGCGTGTTTTTCACAACGTATCCCAAACACCTTTTTCAACGACTGAATGCATGAAATTGCATGAGCTCCAATATGAGCCCCTACCACAAATCTAAATCCAAACATGAATAGACATGTGTATATATATATATATATATATATGATAATTATAGTTTATACAGTGTGTATATATATATGCACAAGTATGCATGCCGTTGACTTCGACTTTGTGCGTAACACTCAACTGACACACACACACACCGACGTTGTTGGAGGAGGGCTGTGTCGGATTTGCAAAACAACTTTTGCACAGCAACCAAAAAGGCATCTGACCCAAGGTCTGTTCGAAAGAATTACTGCGTTCCATGGTGGAACTTCCATGCGTCTTGTCCTTTGAGGAGCTAGTATGTTTGATTGCAAGCTAAGGATGTGAGGATATGCTAGAACAAAAGCCCCCTGTACGAAACCAATGCAACATGAAATGACCATCCCACAGACTGCGGACTGGATTGGTTTTGTTGCGGGTGACCACCCCCCCTTTTGTGACAAATCGCTGGCAAGGGATGATGCTCCAAAAGGTACGCAGGAACAATTTGCCTCATCCGCCTAGACAAGTTGCAGCCCCAAGCAATGTCAGGGGTGAAACTGTACAGCTGGTGACATCATTGTGCATGAATACCCTTTTGAGGGCTCCCATGGTATGTCAAAGCAATGGGCAGAAATTGCCTTCCTGGTCGAAGGACAATGCAAACTGGATTGCTGGCTTGGCTTGCGCTTTACCTGCTTTGCGGAGTTTCCATCTCCTAGATGAAGCCTGGAGCTCCATGCCGATGAGTTGCACCACGTGCTTTTTTAATGCAACAACCACCCGCCCTCATGACAACTCGCCTAAGTGCCCGGCCATTGGCGCCTGCGAGCTGCTTCGAAGGGCCTCCGCGAAGCGGCATGGCAATAACCAGAACGACCTGCAACGCCTGAACTCGAACAAGCCTTCATGCAACAGGATTGAGCAACGGCCTTTGGCATAGAATGCTACATGTATATATACATATATATATATTATATATATATATATATCACGCCGCATAATGTATGCAACATGTACATGGAGACACGCATATGGCCGGATCAATGCCTAGGCAAACCAACCAACGAAAAGAAGGGATGTTGCTTAGAGAGGGAGAGCGAAACAGCTTCTAGCTGACCAGAGCCACAAACCGGGAAGCCTCCCAGTGGTGGCCTGCTCAGGAAGGCCCCGGATTGCCAGCCAAACAGCTAGAACGCGCGGTTCCCAATGCGCGGTTCCCAATTCGAGACCGGCCCCGGACCCAAAGGGAGGGTTGTCATTTGATGCAACACCCCATACGAGCAGACAACAATAATGGGTTGCTGAGCTGAACACTTGTGAAGGGTTGATGTCCATCCCTCACACTCGCGAAGAATCCCTGACACATTCAAAAACATAATAATTTTCGCTTTGCTTGCCGTTGTTCAGAGTAACCAACCGACCAGAAAGCTTCCAAGTTCCCACGTTTGTTTTGGAGCAGCTTAAGCTAAAGAGACAGGAAGTTTGGCGAATCCCGAAGGAAGGGGCCCACGGAAGGCCAAGTGAAGGAAAGCATCGGATAGCCCAAACTCCGAAGAAGTCCTGCACTTCAGTCTTAGGTCCCTTTGGTCTGTATTGGGGGCTTACCTTCAGGGGTGTGGCAAAACCTTTGAGCAGGCAACAACGTATGACTGGGGTGGTTTCCCATTTTCGCAAGAGCCACGGGCTCAAGTCCGAATCTAAGCCACCAATGGCCACCAATGCAAACCACCAGCCAAGGGTTCCCATCGGAAGGCGATTTTCCGTTAAAAGGGACCTGGTTGGTTCCATGTTGGTGGAGTAGAGGTTACCTGATTTCTTTGGGCTCGTGCGCCTCGAAGAAGCCTGAGGGCAAGTCCTCTGCGAAGTCTGAGGGCACCAGGTAGCTCTGGCCGATTGATTCCAAAGCCACACACCAAAGCCAGTCCAAGCAAATAAACAAAAACATATATAGATATTATATATATGTGGTACCCCCCCCCTATGGACCCTGGTTTGGTGCGGTTGACCTGTATTTTCCAGTGTTTTATGCTTCTTTTTGCTTCTTGGATTTGTGTCAAAATTGGGGGGAGGGTCGTACATGTATATGATACGCATGCATGCATACAGATGTGACAAAAGCAGTGACATCAGCACCTGCAATCTGAAAGAGTTTGAATGCATCCAAGAATACAAGAACAACTCAGACATTTTTAAAAATTATTAAAAAATATGGGATTCAAGATTCAAGATTCAAGAATGTGAGAAAATATTTTTCTGGGAATCTTGAATCTTGAATCTTGAATCCCAGAATTTTTAAAAATTATTAAAAATTCTGGATTCAAGATTCAAGATTCAAGAATCTGAGAAAATATTTTCTGGGAATCTTGAATCTTGAATCGTGAATCCCATAATTTTTAAAAAGTTTTAAAAATTCCAGGGTTGTCCCAATTCTCTCGGTGTTCAATAAGATTCTCGGAAAAGTTTTCCGTGAAATAGTTCAATCCAGTGGTAACGGATGTTCGAGGTGATAGAACAACTTGAACATTTTAGGAGTTGATCAGGATGGATGATTCTCAGGAAAGTGGTGGTTTGTGGGCTCCTCAATATTGATCCCCAATCCAGTGGTAAAGCACTTTCAAGTGTTAGAAGAACTTTAATGCTATTTGGGTTTGGCCAGGATTTACAATTCTCAGGAAAGTGTTCTGTGTAATCTTCAATATTGAATCTTCCATCCGATAGTAGCAATTTTTCAAGTGCTTAGCGATCCAGTGGACACACTTTCAAGTTATTGGTTAGACAAACTTTCAAGTGCTTTTGGTGAGCTTCATGTCAGCTATGCTCATGTTGACCCCTTTCCAGGAGGTAAACAAAGGCAGGTGCAACGCTCAAAAATACTGCATGTTCCAGTATTGTATGAGGAGGCGCAGGATCATTGGGGGTACTATATATGTGTGTATGTATGTGTATATATAGATATACATATGTATGTACGTTCACACACCGTCCCCCACCCTCTTCAACTACCTGTCCACATTTGCTCATCTACTACCTCCACCTTTTGACATAGAATTAACTATCCTGCGCAAATAGAACTTTAAATACAACGGTTTAGCTAGAATCCCTGTTTCGAGATAGTTTTAGATTTTGAACCTCTCTTCCCTTGAAATTTCCCTTTGGAACACCGTCTAACAAGTTCAATGTCGGACCTTTCTTATGCTACAAAAGGGCCAGAATGTAAACAACACAAATCCTATTTTTAATTTCCAAATGTTTAGCCATATTTAATATGAATTATATTTGAGATGTAGTCTCTATTCTCTTGATATTATCAAAAGCAACTTGAGTTGTGTTCGTCTTAGATTATACTTACCACTTGGAGTATATTTGGGAAAAAAACTTCCATCTAACTTCTTGTGTTATAGATTAGTTGGAGTTTAGCCGAAAATATATATTTACATTTTCATGTAGCTGCTATTTGGAAAGGATTTGCTTGTTTAAGCTGTAATTGAACATAAACACATTTTTGAAAACTATATCCATACTACACTATATTCAAAATTCCAATTCTAGTTGAAGTAACATCTTATGTGCAAAGGGTATCATACTGGAACATTGTGGAGGACTCCGGGCTCCAAATTATCACGCTTTGGGGACCCACAATTGGACATTTCGAGAATATAAATTTGGAAATTCTAGATTTGCCATCCCCAAAAGGCAGTAAAACCAGGGTCCATGGGGGGGGGTTGCATATATATATATATTTTAAAAAAAAGGGGCGTGGGTGAGAGGCCAGCAATCCTTCTTTGCAGCCACCTGCTCACATGGACCAAGGTGACCTGCCCAAATCGGGCTTTTAAAGGGAACCTTACCTTCCGAACAGGTCCAGAACGCCCCAACTCAGCATGTGTGCATGAATGCTGCGAACAGTATCAGGTGAAAACAAACGGTGTTGGACGCGTGATGACACATGAAGCGTGTACTAACAAAAAGTCGTCAGAACTTCGGCAAGCAAGCCCTCTGATGCCTTCCAGATCAACAACTCCCTTAAAAAAAACACAAGTATTCTTGACGAATGCAAGTGGCAAACATTTGAAGGAAGGACAACACCTGTTTACCATATAGCAATGGCAGCATGCTCGCTTTTGAATACTGATCCAATTTGTGCTTGATTGGTAGCGGCAGTTGGCAATCCACTGGCATGTGTCAACTGTTGATAGTTTGGGCCCAAAGGCCTGCCTAGGAGTACGTGCCTCTAAAGTGTACCTCGCAAAACAGCTGCTAACTGCAAGGGGCTTACTTTAGTTAGGTTTGTCAAAGTAAAATGTGTTCCAACAAATAAGCCGGTAAACAACCAAATTCCTTTCCTGCTCACATTCGCTGTAAAATATATGTGCTTGCTTTCAGCAAGTGGTTTGAAGCAGGGCAAAGCCGGCAGGCTGCCACCATTAAAATGGCTTCGCCCCCGGTTGTGAACATGTGCGAACCCACGGGCGCATGTTCAATGTTTTACATTGGCTAGGCGAAGTTTGCAAACCCAGCTGCGCTCGCCGCTCGCTCGCCCGCTCGCAAACGCCCGCTCGCCCGCCCGCTCGCCCGCCAACGCCAGCCCGCCTCACACTTCTCCGAGCCCGGGGAGCGGGGGTGTTGCGCCCCGTGGCCGCAGAAGACCAGCAGCAGCTGGTCGCCTGTGAAGCCCCATGGGGCCCCAAAGGGCCCCCCCCGAAAAAAATCGGTGCGAAGGGGGGTGGCTTGGCTTGTTGGCCTAGGAACTGCAGTCCCAAAATGGAGTTTGCTCATGTAAGTTCACCTGGGAAGGCGCTTCTCTGGAACGATGGCCAGCCTTGCCTCTGCGCCTAGTTTAGGCATTCTGACCCGCAGATCAGCCATATCCACCGCAGCGCTTACCTGTTGCTCTTCAAAGCGCTTGAACAACCAGGTTGTCAGGCGGTTTTTTGCCACTTTTGACTGGCCCCAACAGTTTTGCCCACATCCCCCCCGCCCCCGTGCGTCGTTATAAATCAACGGCAAATCACGCCATTGGCCTGGGCGGGCATCCGCCACCAGCCACTCCAGCGAGGCCTAAGGCACATCCGAGAAGGAACGAGCCTCGAAGATCGAGGGTCTTTCGCTGAAGGCATATGCTTTGGGGTTCTTTTTGAAAGAATCCACGAAGCCGCCGAGTCTCCCATGTTTGGAACAAATCCATGAGGGATGCCTGCCCGCTGATTCTCAGGTGCGGTTTTCCATCGGGGATTCTTGTCACATTGCGGGGCAAAACCGGGAAAAGGCCAAAAGGGCGTCAGGAATCAGTTGGCCAATTGGGCTCACCACTGAGTGATCCCAACTTTGGCAAGTTGGGCAGTTGAATTGTGAACAACCCCTTGACCATCCTTTGGTCCGTCCCACACATACATTCTGACAGAGGTTCCATGCCACCATTTTGGGCAGGGTCATGCCCCAATGTGAAGACCGGTCAAGGGAGGGTTGGCATGCAGACTGAGTCAACGAAGGCTTCAAGGCACCAGCCAAAAGTGAGGCGCAGTGGGGATTTTCTCTCTCTGACAACAAAAGGTCTCAACAAAATGGACATTTCCTCCCCCCCCCCACTCTGAATGAGAAGAATTTGAAAGGAGTAGCCGAAACTGCGGGCATGAGTGAGCACCCAAAGCTTAGGACTTCACAGCTTGCAGACCAAGCGCTCAAATCCACATGGATGTTAGCTCAGAAACCTGGAAGAGGTGCGAAGCTGTTGACACCTCCGCTTGGAGCCATTAAAAAGCCATCTCAACACAAGCTGTAGAAAACCCCTTGCACCCACCAGCCCCGGGCACAAAACAGCTTGACCCAAAGGGTGCAAGACCAACAGAGAGCCTTGGGCGCTGCTTTTCGCATTGCGGTTGCCACACTTCGAATTCTCCAAGCCGATCCCAGCGAATTGGCCAGAGCCAGTGTAGAGAGCGGAAGCTTCTTCCAGCCGCATGAAAACAGCTGTGAAAAGCCGCCTTAGCTGAGTGTGTGCTGAACCCTTCCATATCGCAGTTTGTGGGTCAGCAAACAAGACTCCCTTGGTTGGTCACTGCTTGTGACACTCAGGGGCAACACATCAACAAACATCAAGAAACAACAGCTTGGATAACGGGATCCCACTTCATGGAAGCGTTCGTGAAAATGCCTCGAAAAGGGAAACCTGCACCATGGTGACACAGGAACACCGAGTTGAGAGGCGGAGTTCCAAATGGATAAGGCGAACTCTAGATTGTTTCTGGAAGGCATTAGACGGTTTACTATAGCATTTGGTTGCGTGCTGTCAACGGGGAAGCTTCCTACTTCAAGGATACCGGAGTTTGGCTTCCTCATTGACACCACCCAAAAACAACAAGACTTCCTTGCATTGAGACAAACAACGGTCTTGAAAACTCTTGTCTGCACTCTGCACCGTCCAGGCGCATGTGGATCGATCCTGTCCGGCTCAGTCCGCGAATCGGCTCTTGGCCTCTTGCGCCAAGCGATCGAATTCCCCGCCGCCCTGGCATTGGCCGTTCCTCTTGGGCGGGTGAAACGGCCCGGACAAAAGGCTCAGCGCCTCCTGCATCAAGGACGCCAACCTTGGCATCAGTCCAAGTCTGTGCGTTTGGAGGCTATCCTCAGTGGGGGTCGAAAGGGAAACCACGAGTAAACAAATTCTTTCATGGGACGCATATTGTTGCATATACCCATGCCAAGGACCCTGAAGCTGGGGATGTGAGTCTGAAGGAAGGGATGAGACAACAAGAATCCTTAACACCTCCGACCAGGCAGGGGGATCAAACATGGTGCTTGCTGTCAGGAGGTGGCCCACTGGTCGGACAACTTTTTTAGCCCCATCAGCGAATCACAGCCCGTTGAGATGGTTCATGTTTCACCAAACTGCGTTGATCTTCTTCGCAATTGCTGCACGAAGTTGAGGCTGATGCAAGTCCGCTTTCAGATCATCCCGCCCACTGAGTGTTCAGAACAGGGCTATGCATCTTCCGAAAAATGGCATACCAAGTCGCTCCAACTCCTGCACGCGACTTGGCTTCCACGCCATTCGTCATGCATTGGGTTTGTTGGGCAACAGAAGGTGGAAATCGCCTGATGGGTTCTGTTGCGCCTTACACTGCCTACAGCACATGTGCGTCACTCGCCTCCGAGAAAATGCTTGATTTGTGCACTGTCAGAGTTCTGCATGTGTGAAGATGGTGTGACTGATCTCATGCCCTGTTTCAAAATCAACCAGGTACTTGCAGGAACCATCAGGAGGTTTGCTGCACCGGGCCGCGGATGCCATGCCGAGTTGCCCCTCATCCATGGGCAGCATGTCGCTGGGCGAGGGCTCTGGTGCAGGACGGCCTGCGACAAATCCCGGCCGGGCGTTCCCTATGGAAGGCCACTGATGTGGCCTAACAATCCACGCCAAGAAGCGCGAGAATCATGTCGCCTCAAATAATAACTGGTCATGTCCTGGTGGTAGTTCCGAGTAATACCGTATGATGCCTCGTAACAGAACTCCTGCAAAACTGCACGTCCTGCACTTGAAACTTCCACAATCCACTGATCCTGCCCCAAAAAGAACGGGTGGTAAAAATCCTTGCGTCGCGGTTGGTGCGCAAGGATTGCACCTCCATCCCTGAGTCCCGTGCGCGCACATCCCCCAATTACTACAGTCCATGGGTGTTGCGCTTCATAATTAGCCAGTCAAAAGTTGGAACGATTTGCACCTGCCTTTTCAAGTCTTGGTGTGATCGCACATGCTGGCCGCACTGCAAGTGGCCGTGCACAAGGTGAGACGCTGCCCGCATCCATGGAAACGTCGTGATTTGCGTGCTTTGTCAGGGGTGTGCTCCCAACGTCTGGAGGGGCGCGGTGTCGCGGTCTGGCCAAATAATTGGCGTGGTAATACTGATGGTAGGTTAGTGTGGTTGACCATGGAGGTTTGTTTGGAGTTGGGAATGCGGCAATGACTGATTCATCACCCTGATGTTGGGGAAGGGATGGTAAGGGGGAATCCTTGTAGTTTGGGCGAGGGCCAGGTCACAATGTCATAATCAACCTGATATTGAAGTGGTTCCAAAACCAAGTGTTTTTGTCGGGATCTGATTGGCCTCCAGTGCCAGCTTTCCCCTGCCCAAACATCCAACAGGATCCGTTACTGAAGGGGTCAGCTGCTTATTGGAATTTTGATCGCCAAGAGGCAAGCCGTGCATTCTTGCATCTGCCTCCTGTTCCTAAGTCTAGGGGAATTTCAGGAACAGTGCCACCTGCTTGCACTGCTTGCTACAACGCTGCGTCGCTGAGAGGCAAGTTCCAGCCCGAAGCCTCACATAATTCTAAGTTGCTTGAGAGCCAAAGACTGCTGAGAGGTAGGAGAACAAGCAATAGGCAGTGGGGTGCAGGGTTGCCTGTTGATGTTACATTTGCGCCCAACTGTTCAGCGGCTGACTTCCTAAGCTGAAGTCGCGCGACCACTGGGCGGGTACATGCCACATTTGCACAAAAAGAACACGTTGCGCTATACCCTATCTTTGTCCACCCGTCCGGACCGCAAATGGTGCCCCCCGCCCCCGAATTCCCCGCTGCGAAATCCCTTGCCTCCTTCGCAAAGAACCGCAAGGGCCTGTTCCACATGTTCTGCTTGCAGGCCTTTGCCACTCTCTGCCGGTCCGGGGGGTGGGGTGGGGGCGCTCAACATGCATTTCATATCTGCCTGCGATAGTTGAGGGGCAATTTCGCAGCATGTTGCCAAACTGCTAAACCAGGCACACCACGGCGAAGGCGCTGACATGAAACGTTTCTGCTGCCACCAAAACGTGCTGCTTTGCGAAAAAGCTGGTGCATGTAAAATTGGACAAACCGAGCAACTCTTGCAGCGATTGAACAGGGTGTTGTCAACGGGCAGGAGCACTGCCAATTCTGACTGCAATCGATTCTGTGGACTTTGGCACCATGTAAAATACAGGGCGACGAAACCGTCATTGCGCTGTTGCTTCAAAAGTTCACATTCCGGAACTTTGTGTGTTGACGCGCGCGCGTCTGCCTCATCGGAATTCTGGATCAACCAATTTAACGCCATACAAAGCCCGACCCCCACCAAGGAGGGCGAAGGATCCCCACGAAAAGGCACACTCACTTGACCACTTGAGAATGACCCAGCCTCCGGGTCAAGGTGGGCTGATCCTTCACTTCTTCAGGCTGAACTTCCGTTACAATCCGCACCCTCCGATCCAATTCATGTCCATGTCAGGGCTTCTACCTCAGCTTTTGCTCCCTAAACAGGGATTGTTTCTGGCCCATTCAGTTACCCGTCTGCATGTTGTTTTTTTGTTTTAAAGAGATCCCGAATATAACTCGCTCTCGCGCTTTCCACTGGTCCTCCTTCTGAGCAACCGGAAGACAGTACTTGAGATGAAACTCGAAACGACTCCCTGGTTCGGCAGTTTTCTTCCAAGGAAACTGAGCAAAAGACTCCGGGAAACAAGCATTAGCGGCGCCCAATCAGAGGGAAGATGGTGTTCTAGGATTCCCTAGGAAACCATGGCCCTAGGTCTTCCAAAGGTTGCTGTTTTTTTGCCCCCTGGCAAAAAGCATGTTTTTTCGCCCGGGGTCGGTTTTTTGAGACCGGGGGCAAAAAATGGTGTTTACTGGAAAACAAGCAATTTTGCGGTGCAATGCAGCCTGTGCGGCCTGCGTTGATATATTCAAGCGAGCGTGCTGGCTATGACAAAGTAGTGTACAAAAATCAGCCACTGGAACATGCGTAACGAAGCGGCCCCGCAGTGTTGATCTGATCAAGTTAGGTAAGTGTACGGATTTGTGTTCGATAGTTGGACCAGAGAACCCTTTATGGCTCAGAAACTAAGCCCCAACTAAGTGATGCATTGACAAAAGTGGAGCCAATCAACATCGAACGAGCGCAGGTGCAAGGCAACGGTTGACCAGAAGGAGACGAACCCAGTTAAGGTGCTAAGCTAAATGGTCGGTGCCTAAGCCATACGAAAGGATTGAGCATGGTGCTAAGAAAACCAGCAACATGGGTTCTCTTCTCAATACGGAAGCCAAAT